GGCCAAGTGCCCATGGGCTCTTGCCCGGCAGCCGAGTGCTGGTGGGGCTCGTTGTGGCCTGACCTGTGGGACGGTGTCGGTGGTGCCCAAGGTGTGACAGGCTGGGCTGGGCTGGGCTGGGCCGTTCAGGGGTGTGTAGGTCAAAACCAGCACCTCTGGTTGCACCTGGGAGCCCTGCAGCTCAGACCGGCCCGGGCTCTTGCGAGGGAGGCGCTGCCGGGGGGCAGCGAGCCGAGTGCCTGGGGTCTGTGTCCAGTGCTGAGCCGCCGGGGAGGTGGGCACTAGTTGCTGATCCCTAAGGAGACCATGTCTCTCAGGGTCTCCTTGTAGCTCTGCCATTGACCAGGTTGTATGCCTTCTTTTAGTCTCTTTGCTTCATATAAAAGGACTCCACCGCTCCCGAAGGAAGCACGAACCTGCGAGGGCTTCAGTGTTCATTTCCTGGAAGAGAAAAGAAGGAAAGAAGCCGATTGAGCCCACAAGGAATTTCCTGTTTCTGCTGCTTCTCTTTACCTCACAGCGGGCCAGTTAAGTTGGTATGAGACACACGCTTGTTGTTCTCCGTAGAGCTGCAAACCTTCTTATCCGAGAGGTTTCCCCTGAGGCTGCGGATCTCCAGGCTGGCTATGGAGAGAATCGCAGCCCTCTGGAGAAATCCCAGTGGGATTGGCTGACTTTCTAATTATACGGGCAGTTACATGCTGGGACCAGGTATCCAGGAGAGTGGCAGACTCACCGTCCCTGGAAGCTTTGAAGCTCCAGTATTGGTCTGGGATGACCCATACGGAAAGTGTCCTGCCTCGAGCAGAGGGTGGGAATAGACAACTTCCTGAGGTGTCCTCTAGCCTTATTTTAATATGATTGCATGATTTTCCCCAGTTCCCCACCTCGTAGGCAAGTGCAGCCAATCAGCCCTTTGATCAGTCATGAAACACCCTGGTTCTCTGAAGCCCCCATCTCCATGGAGAAGGCAGCATCTTAAAAGGCTCTAGAGGGCAAACTGCACAGGAGGAATGATAAATGCAGCATCAAACACAGCAGAGGTCAGAGGAAAAGCTAGTGAGAAAGGGTCAGCAGGGACTCTAACAAGCCATTTCAGGTGGGTAGGTCATTGGGAGCCACAGTGGAGCAGTCTAGGGTGGATCAGGGGAGAGTTTAGTCCATGTACTGTAGATGGCCCTTTGACCAAGCGTTGAGGGGGAAGGAAGGAGAGAGGTGGGGGGCAGTATCAGGACAGACAGGTTGAGGGCTGGCATCTGAGCATAGGTGAGACCAAAGAGATTGGTATTGGACCAGTGGAGATGGGTAGGTGTATGGGAAAATATACCCCTGTGGGATCCACTCCATCTCCTCCTCCCCCTGCTCTGTCCACTCCATCTCCTCCTCCCCCTGCTCTGTCCACTCCATCTCCTCCACTGCCATCTTGATTGTTTTCCTCTATCTCCCAGGCAACGTCCTGCTCTTCTATCTTCATGGCAACTGCCATCATTATGACATAGCAAGATTCCAAATGATCAGGTCAGCCCCGTTGACAGGTGGCAGGTTTGGTTTTTCCAAGCTTGTGATGCAATTGAGAAGACTCCCTTTTCCCACAAATTTTAAGAGACTTGTTTTCAGCCCTGAAGCCCCTGTTTGTCAGGGAGGGAATCTGCCTTCCTTGAGCACTGGCTGGCTCTGGGATTTGGGAGATGACCAAAACACATTAAATTTTAGACTGCCGCAAATTGTGAGTTGGTTCATGGTAGCTTATGTTAGCCCTAGCATTAGGGGAGCAGAGAAGTAGATTAGAACTCCCTGTTACTGCCTCCTGTACTAGGCACAGTGCAGTCTACATGGTCCTCATACAAATCAAATCTCTCACCCCCAGTTTGCCCACATGATTTTCCTGCCATGGCCTGATGTTATCAGTGAGCAGGTTCAGTGGTGACGTGTAGGGGTACGCGGGGGTGCACATGCACCCCCTGAGAGTGCTAGTGCACCCCATGACGGGTAGCCCTCCTGTGAGCGCTGGCTGGGGAGTGGGGGCCCCAGGTGAAGCGTTGCTGGCACTTTCGGTCAGCGTGATAGGTTGCAGGGGCGAGATTGGCCACAGGGACCCCTCCCCCTTGGTCGGCAGGATTGGCCATGAGGGGCACATGCCCCCCCTGAGTCGGGTGGCACCAGTTGCCCATGAGCAAGTCCATGGTAGTGGGGAGGGCAGGGTGGAGGAGCCTTGTTGACAAGGTGTAGCACCCCTCAGAGCTCAGATCCTTGTGATCTACAATGTTCTTTAGGGTTTGCTACCTATCCTTACAGGACTCATTCCCATCTATTGTATTCCTTCAGTCTCTGCCCAGGTCCTTCTCTGCACCAGCCTTTTTCCAAACCTCCCTTTACCCATAATTACAATATAAAAGGATGGCATAATCAAATTCAATGAATAGTTTGTGTCAAAAGAAGTGGAAAGCATTTTGAAAAAGTCCAAATGTTTCATCTTGACACAGTTTTGACACAAATTTAAATATTTACATTTTTTGTTCAAAATCCAAATTTAAGTAATATGATATTAAACTGCCAGTCTCACCCCAAACAAAATGTTTCATGTGAACCAAATATGATGTTTTGGGATCCTGGTCACCATACTGAAAAATCAGTTATTTGCCCAACTCTAATAGCAGGATCAGTGGTTCTCAACTGGGGAACTGTAATAACTCTGTGAGCCTTGGTGAAACTTTCCTGTACGTCTCACTTTTCAGGAAGCATGCTGAAGTCAAACCAAGAAGAGTTGCACGTGGAAGTTTCGCCTGGCTACAGCGATACCAAGGCAGCTTGGAGATACAGGCTGTTGCTGTGGTGTGGCAGCAAGGTGAAACTTCCTGTGTACCTTGAGTTCTAGGAAGCACATCAGAGTTGAATCAAGGAGCAAGCAGCAGCTTTGACAGAAACTGGTGCTCCTGCCTCCATTGTGTTTATCTAATAACTGTAATGCATGCAGGAGTGCTTTCTGGTCCAGCCACTTGCATACCTCCTAGAAGCAGGCACACAGGACAGTTCCACCTGGTGATGCCATTGGCAGCAGCAGCATCTATCTCCAGGCTGCCCTACCACCTCTTCTGCCAAGTGGAATTTTCCAGGAAGTGCATGTGGGCCTGGACTAGCAAGGGCTGCAGCATGAGGGCACTTTTGCCTGCATTAGGGTTGTCACCAGGCTTGTCCCATGCTGTTTTCCTAAGCATGCCTGGGTCCCTGGCCCCTTTGTAGAACAAATGATACTGAGACAGTCCTGAACAAAGCCCCAGTTTGTTGACTTGCTCACTTCTCCCCATCTCTTAAGAACCCTGTGGGACTTCTGGAGTCAAATCTGGGTGATAGTGTGCAGGTTAGGTTGCTTTAAGGAGGTGTCCAGTGCTCATCTCTACTTGCAGTGTGCCAGGGCCAGGGCTGTCTCCCTCTCTGGCTGTGGCTGACTTAACGGACAAGTTTGTTACAAAGAAACACAAAGATGATGACCCATTTAGTGAAAATATAAAGAAGAGTGAATCTGTGCATTCAGAAACAGATAGGCAAGTGTATGGAGGAGTGGAGGCTGCCCAAAACCTACCATCCCCCCTGTAGACCATTGAAACAGAATCCAAAGGCCAGACTGACTCCAGACATTCAGTGCCTTGATGATTGTAGCTTCTGCCAGAGAGCAACAGATAACTTCTTCTGACTGCCTAATGCCTTAGCAAGGGTACGTTTCTGTCAGGATGATGTCCATTAGCCTTTCTCCAACCAAGGAGTACCCACAAAACAGTGTGGGCTAGGGTTTTGACACTCCCTATACTTACCTTACTCTGGAGGTTGCAACACGTGGTATTTTATAGAAGTTATCCCACCATGAGTAGCCCCACCATGTTGCCACCAGGCCCCCCAGTTGGATGCAGTTTACAGTCATACCCCAGACAAAGTACAAGTTCAAGTAGTGCTTTTAAAAAGAGACTGAAAGTAGATAAGCTGTTTAGCCATAGGGTTTACTTGGAACAGAGATGAGCATTATCCCCAACCTGAATGCGTCATGTGCAGTGAAAAGTTATCTATGGTGAAGAATTATCTATGATTCCAAGTCAGTTGAAATTCCATTTCTCTATGAAGCATGGACATGTAGAAAATAAGAGCTTGAAGTATTTTAAAAGACTTGTAAATTCTCAAAAAGAACAGACTTCAGACTGTGAAAAGGTAAAACTTTCTGACAGAGCATAGGAGGCTAATTACAGAGGTGCAGAGTTGATTGCTAAACAGAAGAGATCCCACAGTAGGCAAGATACTGATACTTTCTCCTCGGAAAGTAGTAGGAAAAAGCTTGTTTGGTAATGACGCTGAAAAAGAAATTGACTAGATTCCGCTGTCTAATGATCCTATTGGGAGATGTGTACATGACATGTCAGAGGATATTGAAAAAATATGGGATAAAGTTAAAATAGCTATTACCTTCAGTCTTCAGGTGGATAAATCAACATATGTAAGTGGAAAATGACAGCTCTTAGCTTTCCTCTGTTTTGTTGATTATGGGAAAATAATAGTGCGATTCTCCTGTTGCAGAGAACTCAGTCTACAAGCAGTCAGGATGTTTTTGACACAGTGGATTCCAATTTGAAATGTATGGCTTTATTTTGGGAATTGTGTAGGTGTTTGCATAGATGGTGGTCCCAGTATGACTGGGTCAGTACGAGGATTTGTTTTAGTTGTGAAGAAACAGAATCTGAATGTTATTACAACATCTGGTTTCATTTATCGAGCAGCTCTTGTTACAAAGAACTATACGCTTGGCATTAATGGTTCTGCTTGACCAACTTGTAAAAATGGTCAATTACATTAAAAGTTGGCCACTGAAGTCTCATCTTTTTTCAAGATTGTGCAAGACAATGGAATCTGAACATGCCGGTAAGATGTTTATTGAGGGACAAGGTTTTGTCCTGAATTCACAAGTTGAAAAAAGAAATGTTAACATTTTTTACACTCAGGAACTTAGTCTGACTTTGTGATTTGTCGAGCAATGGTAGCTGGTGCTTTCAACTAGCATAACTTGCTGACATATAGTTCTGCATTCAAATAAAGTGAATTCCAGCATGCAAGGTCCAAATGAGAATATTTTAACTTATTCTGATAAACTTTGTGCCCTGCTAGATAACATTAGGTTCTAGAAGGCTTGAGTTACTGATAGCTAGAAATGTTCCTCTGCACAACTGCATTAAATAATGGACATATCAGATCATGTGAAATTGTTAAAAAATTAAAAAATACTTCCCAGATTTAGGTGTTGCAAGTATGACTAGGTTATAAACCGCTTTACCTAAACCTCAAGAATCAGGGGATTCAGTCTTCAGGAAGAAGAACTTGCCAATATATGCAATGATTGGACCCAAAACTAAAACATGCTAGGGTGCTTTTGGATAAATTCTGGTATTAGTTTTCAACATTGTATTTATGCAAGTTGGAATTGTGTACTTTAATTAACTTTAAAAAAATGAGAGAGAGCCTTCTTCCAGTGGAAGAGGAAATGTGTGTATGTCTCCGA